TTCCTCACTGACTCAAGGTCAACATTGTCCATTCGGGCAATTAGTTTCAGTCTCACCGAAGCTGTCCTGCTTAAGAGAGCTACACGCAGGTTTCTGACTACATAGATTGTCTCTGTAGTGCTCCTGTCACTGTAGGAAATGTCCTCCCTTGTGGACCCAATTACGCTCAATGCTGCACCTGTAGGAAATGTCCTCCCTTGTGGACCCAATTACGGTCAATGCTGCGCCTCCTGGTCCATACAGTGGCTTTTCGGCTTTTTCTAGACCTACAAACTCTCCCGTAGTGTCCACGTTTCCCACAGTTGTGGCATTCTGCATTTTTAGCTGGGCACTGTGCTGTTTGGTGCATCTGTGCTTTTCCACATCTAGAGCATGTTTTATTCTCTCGTTTTGTTATTTGTGGTTTTTGTGGCTTGAACTGCTTTTGGTCTCTGCTTCTGAATTTATTTGGCTGTGATTTTTTGACATGCACGGCATCCACGGCTGTTTTGCCCGTGCTGCTTTCCCGTCTTAAGTCAGTTTGTTGTCTTTTTATTTCCTCAGATTGTCTCGCCATTGTGATAGCTTTGGTTAGGGTCAAATCTTTATCGAGCTGCATTCTCTCTGACAGTGATGAATCTTTGAGACCCACAACGAGCCTATCCCTCAAAAGTTCATCGTGAAGTCCTCCATATTCACAGTTTTCAGCCAGAGCATATAGAGCTGTTATGAAGGAGTCAACTGTTTCTGCTGGTTGTTGTACTCGCTTATTAAACTTTGCTCTCTCATAGATCAGATTCTTTCTGGGGACAAAATGTCTATCAAATGCGTTTCTGACCGCATTGTACTGCTGGCGCTGCTCATCAGTTAGGTCAAGTCCCCTTAGCACGTCGTCAGCCTCGTCTCCCATGCAGTAAACTAATGTGTTCACTTGGTTAGCATCTGTTGAACTGTCCATATTACTTGCCATTCTGAAACGCTCGAAACGTCTGATCCACTTCTCCCACTCCTGGGGCTTTGCGAAGTCGAACGGTTCCGGTGGCTTGATGGTGAAAGTAGCCGCTGGCGGAGCTGCCATAGCCGGGCATGTTGCCGCCGGTACAGCTGCTGCTTGCTCCGTCATGTTTGTCGTTGGCCGTTCGCCCAAATCGACTTTTTCTTCGTTTCCTCAGTTCACCGCTTAGAGCGAGTGCACTTCTGACACCATGTTGTGTTGGGCTCTTGAATAAACTCCGCTCAGGCGATAACGTGGAGCAACAACCACCTTTTATTTTAGCCTCTCAAGCTGTTCACCTGCCACACATTTTCTCTAGCTTGTGAGTACTGCCCCCTAGTGGCGCATGAATGTATATCAATATAGATTACACCACACTCCACACTTTAGCCAACAATCTCACGCATTTTTTTTCTTTCATCAACCGAACTTTCTCACACACTCAAGAGCTTGTGGCTCACATGCACAGGGTCGCAACTGGCCCACCGTAATCAACTTAAACCACACTGCCAGTGGTTAAAGAAACAGAGGCAAATTAATGAACTAACTTGATGAATTAATTAATTAACTTACTCTCCTCCGCGTTGTAAATTCGTCCTGAGTTCCGAGTGCGAGAGCCTGTTGATGAAAGTCTGTCTGCAGAGCTATTTAGCCGGCCAATGGGACAATTCACAGCCCCCCAGACTTTTGATGAAGAAGTGGCGCCACACGGCTCCCTGGAGACAATCTTCCATCGCTAGGCTCTGTGCTCCCCGTACGGGCCACCAAAATGATAGGTAATTTTTCATTTATCCCATATTACCTTAAAGGATGACACAGAGAGAGAGAGAGAGATTATTTGTAATGTCCGTGAATCGCCATGCGAGAGCTGGGCGCAGAAACCCAGCCCCTAGTCTGCTCCAGCCTCAGCCTTCAGCCCCCACTCTGCCTACCCGCATCTCCACAAAAATGTTGGGTGATATTTAATCTCCATAACCCTGGAACCTGAAATAAACACTCATGAGAACAAGGAAGATGTCCAAATTTTTATTTGAGACTCGCCGAACGGCATTGAATTCACAGATAAAAAAGATGTGGGTTCAACTTTCATTTATTTTTCAAGCAAGGGAATGGAATGAACAGAGCATGCGGGACAACTGACCCATCTTAAACCTTTGTTGGCTGTGCTGAAGAGAAAGGTACAGAACCAAATTATTTAATTAATTAGCTGTGCGTTCTCCTGTCCTTTGTCCTCCGGGCCACACACACACACACACACACACACAAGGGACTGTTATTTTCGTTAAGGAGTGTGCACGTACAGCATGCGCGCCTCGTGCACAAGCCTACTATTGAAGCTGCCGTTACGCTTTTGGCCTGAGGGGGCGATCGCGAGCATAAAAATTCAAAACTCCGTAAAGTCCCTTTAACCTTTTGATGCATGAATTATGAAATCTTCAACCATGATTATTTAACAATGTCTTTTATTTATCTTCAGGTGTGGATGAAACAAATTTCAATAAATATTTTTTTGTAACATTTAATAATTTGCACATAATTTTTTACTTGTCCACCACAGTGTGTATTCTGAACCTGAAATATGTTGGCTGGACTTACTGAAGTCCACATGGAGAGGCTCAAATGCAATAAAGTCTTCAACAGGTGTGCTTAATAGCAAAGACAAATAAGTAAATTACAATTTTGAGAACCTGTCCACTGTAATGACTATTTTGCATCAAGGAGTTAATTTCTCATTTTTATTTTCTAGTTTAAGTTACCTTTGAGGCCTCGACTGATAAGACCTTATTAGCTCCGAGCACAGCAGCTGTTGTTTGGGTTTTTTGAGCTTGGCTGTGCTCTCTCTCTCTGTTTCACTTCTTCAACCCTTTTTTCTCTCCACCCCTCTGTGCTGTAAGCATAATACATTTGTGACACGTCAGCGGTTATCAAAAACATGTTTTCCATCAATCCTCTGATAATTTTCAGATCATTTCCACATTTCCTTAATTGACATTTCCATCAATGTACAATATTTACTCAAAAGGTATTTTGTGAGTTCTTATTTCCCCATGTAGATACCACACTGTCTCTTCTTCGGCATGACGTCAGATTTTGGCTCACAACTCCAACTGTGTGTCTAAACACAGCGGGACTCACTTATCAGCCAACCAGTTTAGAAGTCTGATTTGCCATATCCTTCTTTCTACATGAATGAGCAAGTCCACACACTCTCTCATCCATTTCAACAACAATTAAAGCAGACAACATCTAAGACAAACAAACAACAACACAGATAACTAGAGCATGTATCTAATTCTTTGGCAAAACGCTTAAAACCAAGCCAACTACAGGCAGCATGCAATGAACCATCACCACTTTACAGCATTCAGAGAATCCGTCAAAAACTGTCCTATTCACGGTAGACGAAACCAATTTAGATCCTCATACTTACCACACCGGTCTACTTATTTCTCACACCAGAATTGCATTTCTAATTTCGGCTAAAATGCAGAAAACCAAGCCAATACGGCTTTCCGGGAATCTGTTTACCAGTCCTTTCATGGTGAACCAAACCAGTATATTTTTCACTCAGTTTTCTGTATCAAAACTAGAGTAGCATTTCTATCTTCGACTAAAACGCCCAAAACCCAGCCAATACAGCTTTCACGGTGGATTGAACCAATTTATTTCTGGTCACCGAGGATTTTCTCTCGGTACCACAAAGACAAAACAAACAACAAACTCTTCTCACCAAATCTCTTCGCTCAGGTCTTGGGTTCATGGATCCGCATTTCTCCTAGCGAATTTCTCCTAGCGACGTCAAGACCCTCACACCGACCTCCCAGCGAAAGCTCAGCGCGGGAGGAAATTCAGGTTGTCGACAGTTCTCCGGCGTCGGCTCTTGGCGCTGTGAGGTGACGGGACCCCGGCTCTTGAAGGACCAAATTATGTTAGGGATTTTATCAATATGTTTATCAATAACCCATTTCCTGTAGTCGAAGAGAAAAGGAGACAATGAGACAACAAGTCAACCAGTTATAACTGTGGCAATTGCACAAGGCAAAATGCCTCGAACATCTGATCACAGAGTTTATTTAAACAGAAAGATAAGAATGGGAGTGAGGTCATTGTGTGTGAGAGTCAGTGTGTGTATGTGTGTATGGGAAGACCAGTGCGTGGGTGTGTCTGAGTGTGAGAATGCTTCAGGACATTTGTTAACAGGATTAAAGCAATGAAATATAAAATTTCCATAACATTCTCAGTCATCCTGGACATGATCATCCTGAGAGTTTTAGCTGGAAACAGCTGGACGTGTCTGGATATGTTGGAGACATTTAGCCTCTCATCCCAGAGGCTTCTTCCAGACTTTGGTTGTGGTCAGAAACAAACACACTGGTTGTGCTGCAAGTCTTTTTCTTTTTTCTCCAAAACATGTTTGTGTCTAAATGAAGGTGATGTTGTTGTTCATAGAGTTAAAATTCATGTTGAAGTTAAGATTATTTCATCAAGTAGGACCTGTGATTTGCTCGCTCGTGTAAAGCATGTCATGTCTTGAAAGAATCGGAATCGGGGATCGATAGGAACCGGAATCGAAACGAGGAATAGGAATCAGAATCGGAATCGTTCAAAATCAAATGATGCCCAACCCTAGTGGTCGGGCAGAAAACCAGTCAGTATCTGGTGTGGCCACCATTTGCCTCACGCAGCGCAACACATGTCCGTCGCATAGAGTTGTAGAGTCGTGGCCTGTTGAATGTTGGTCCACTCCTTTTCGTAACAACACATTCTTCTGTTTCCTGGACACTAAACCAACAACAGCCTTCCCTGTTGTGAGTCAAGATGAGTGAGCCCATGAATGTCGAATGACAGTGTGACGTAGATCTGTCAGGCTTTTCTGAACCAAGCATTTTCCCAGCTTTCTTCTGTCAGAAACTAATGCAGGAGATGTGGAAGAATACGTTCTGCTCTTGAAGCTGTTACTCTACTCCTATAGATGCCTCACACAGGCATCAGGGAGTGGCTCATGGCTCTGTTCTGTTTGCTCTAGTGTTCTGGATCTGAATGCATTTGAGCGGCAAAACAAAGCAGAGGGACTGGGGATGGTCACAGAAGAAGGATCAGGTAAGTCAAACCTGTTCAGTGTGTTTTAAAGACTATAGAACTACAAGAATAGTGCAGGTCATTTTTTAGCAAGTAGCTTTATCTTGAATTTCAATACTTTATGATGTCTCTCTTTTTCAGGTACAGTTTAATTTCATAAAAGGTCTTTTAAATAACTACAAGATCTATTTAGGAGTCCTAGCCTCAGTTACCTCCGATACTAATCACGTTGCAGAAACGTAATCCTGTTAGAATTGTTCCAGAAAAAAAAATGTTTTTGTTGCCACTTCTTCCCATTTTCCCCCCAAAAATGTGTTTTTCCTCTTGTCAAATCATCGTTGTTTGCTCCTTTTTTTGGTTTGTTTAGTTTATCGCAACATCATTCTTTTGGATGTTTGGTGGAGTTTAGATGAGTGGGTAACAGGGTGTACTGGTTCTAAAACTGGGTCCAGGATGGTGCTTTGATGAAAGAGTAATTGTGTTTTACTTGTGATGTCTCATCTGTGTAGATAAAACGCATTCTAGACTGACCGTTTATCAAATTCTGATTAGTTAGTCAAAAACTCTCATCAGTCCTATGAATAGATTTAAAGGGGCCATATCATGGAAAATCCACTTTTTGGAGCTTTTTATCATATGATATTTTTATTTTCTCATGAAAGATACCCCAAACCTGTTTTTGGTTGCATTCATGCATTTTCCTGTTTCAGCTGTAATTTTTCAGTATTTTTTTAAAACCCCGGAGAAGCCACGATTGTGTGTGATTAGGCCTCGCTTCTCCCCTAGAAGCTGGTCTCTGATCTGGGTCCCACCCCCATGGAAGTAGGTCACGGCCACCCCGCATAGAGAGGTTCATTTCATGCTGCAGTTGAGAATGTGAGCTTTACGTCACAGACTGCTTTAAACCTCCACCAATACCAGAGTGGATCTTCTGACCAATTCTTTCTGGGTTGGGGACAAAACACTGACATAAAATTCATGCATCTGTCTACAAAGACGCACACCATAACATTGTTAGTTTTTTAGTTATTTTCCTACACAGTTTAGTAAAAATATTTATTTACCTTACATGTTTCAGCTCTAGCCATCCTCAGAGATCGCCCGTGATGGTGGTGTCACTTGTTTTTATCCGCGGGCAGCAGAGGACGGTGTCGCCCTCTGCGGACAAAAACAGTGTGAACGCACAAATGACCAAATGCAAAGATCTTTAGAGACACAAAATATTTAGAAGAAAACAATCAATGAACTAAAATATAAAGAAAGGAAATCTGCATCAGCTGGCTAAGTGAATTACTGCTGACACCTGGAGTTGAAGCGACATGGCAAAACAACAATGAACTTGCCTGAGATGCAGTTGTAGGCACGTTTTGTCGGGCCGGGCGAAGCTTTAGTGAAACAGACAATTTCAGTTGTGGGTAGAAATTCAGGCTGACCATATATTGCGCCTGCTTTTGCTCTCAAAGGTTTAAAAAGGCATGATCTGGCTCCTTCATTGGAATCCATTACTGTAATCAGTAGAATGCAATTTTTTATATGTTGTAATAGGTGCAGAAATGGTGATTTTCACTACCTCTTTATACTTACAGAATTGTTTTCTGTAATCGTGTGTCAGTATGTTTGCATGTAGAATTTTACCTGATCAACAGTTTTACTTCAAAAAGTTAAAAACAAAATCTTCTCCATGTATTTGCACATAGGTTACAGTCAGGGTCCGAAATTAAATTTTTTACTCACCGGCCAAGTTGGCTGGTAGATGATGAAAATCTACCGGCCAATAGGGCTGGGCGATATGGCAAAAATAGAATATCACGATTTTTTCAATATTTTATCACGATTTCGATTTTATCACAATTTTTTATCCACAAATAGCATAACTTCAATTGCGTATTAAAGAAGAGAAACATTGAATAAATAAACATTTATTCATATTAGGGATAATCAGCACAGTGCTAACACACTTATATTTTAAACTCACACCAGAGATGATAAAAGCCCTGAGAGAAAAAATTACAAAAATCTGTTTTTCTCGTTTTTCAAGTAACTTAACATGAATTAAAATCGTGAACATATTTAAAGTGCAAACATGTCAATTGCAAACGTATTGTGCAAACATGAACTTGTTCAAAATACTATGTAGCTCCCAGTTGCTCATGTAGTGGATAGTTAAGCTCAAGTACAGCTCTGATGTGCGGCTGGACCAGAGATCGCTTGTGGTAGCAAATAACTGCGCATTCTGAATATTTTCTTCAACTCTCACTTTGCATTCAGCGTACATGCGTGGAATGGCGGTGTTCGAAAAATACTTGCGGCTGGAAAACCCGTTGCGCGGATCCAATGTTTTTATCATTTTCTTAAATCCCATTCCTTCTACTGTTCGCACGGGACACAAATCTTTAACCCAGTGGTACGTCACTGCATCTGTCACACTGTTCCATCGTCTGCTGTCTCTGTCGTAGGGAGTGAGTTTTGTGAGTGTTTGTTAGTGTTTGCTGCCTGGAAGAAGCACTAGCCGCTGCAGCCGCAGGCTTTTTAGCTTTAGCTGCCTGCTGGATCTCATTGTATTGTTTGGGATGGCTTCTTTTCAAGTGATTAAACAAGTTTGTGGTGTTGCCATCACTTGCCTTGACGCTCTCCTTGCAAATGACGTTTCGCTAGCCTGGCAAGCCAGACTAAATAAATGTATTATGTAGTCTGGCAACGCTCCATTGACGGCTCTCGGTTGTGGGGCGGGTTCTACCGTTGTCTTTCAAATTATCTCCGCATGCTACTGGACAATGAGTGTGACATACTCTTGTTTCACTCTCTGTTGCATCATCCCACTCACCAGGCATATAGAGTGCCCTGATTGGCCCACAAAGCGGATAAAGCTCTGTGATTTGTTCACTAAGCAGATAGAGCACTATGATTGGCCCACCATTATGGACCAATCACAGCTCTTTTTGTGTTTGAAACCCCTCTAGAGAGCTGTGATTGGCTAGCCAGAGTCCTGGTAGGAGCTGCGGAGGTTCCAATGGAGCATGCCTAGACCAAACTTTGCAAAGCAAGAATTTGGTCTAGTTCACTAGGCTAACGTTTCGCTGCTCTTTGTCATCTGGTGAAAAACCAAACCAGTTCCATATAATGGACGAGGCGTTCCTCTTCGGAACGAAAACCTCGTTCTGTTTCGTTCCCTCCTGACTGCCAGTGGCAGTAGAGTGGATCTATCTCCTCGCGCTCTGCGCAGGTCGAGTACTAATGTAAACAAAGTCACGCACGTGACACGTAGCGCACCTGGTCGCGAGTCTATAAATTACGCGCCGATAGCTACGTTCGGGTCTCCCGGGATCTTCTCGCCCGAGGAGTTCCGAGTGACCCCTGTTACTGGCAGTCATCCAGGAACTCACAGAACCATAGTTACACCGTAACTTCTGTTGTCGCTCTCAGCCGCGGCCGAAGCCATGTTTGTGTAGTGAAATAGAGTGATGTAACGATCTAGAGTTGTATTTTAATATACTGTAAGTAGATCACTTGTTATAATCAGAAGAATAGGTTGTTTTTATCATCAGGGAGTTCATTTAACACTCTGTATTGACCTTGAGACAAGAAAAGAGAGAGTTGGGATCGTTTAAGAATTTTATTATCAATTCTACAATCTATCAGGACTAACTCTGTGTTGTTTGGAAATGAATGTGATGTTCGATGTGTGTGTGTGTGTGTGTGTGTGTGTGTGTGTGTGTGTGTGTGTGTGTGGTTTGTTCAGACTCCTTAGGCTGACGTCATTGAATCTGGTAGTCTTTGATTGTTATGACTAGATATCACGAGGCTTATAAAGTGATGACATGAGCTGCTATTTTGCCGTGTACGTACCCAGTGGGGGCCTCCCAGGTAGATCAGGAAATGCCAGGTCTGAAGACCTCGGATGTGCGCTGGAGCTGGTCGAAGCAGCGATCACAGCACGTCAAAGCCCGTCTGAAGGGTCGACCCCGGTACCATCGGCAGCGTCAGCTAGTGGTGCTCTTATTTTGAAAGGATGTCGTCTGGTTGTTAAACGACGAAAATCTCCAACTTCACAGTTCTTAGTTTAAAGAAGAAAACACATCTGGCCAGGCTGTGCTTCTCTTTGGGATGACGGTGAATAGAACTGAAGTCAAAATGGAACTGAGCTTAAAATGGCGTTGCCTTGTTTTATATCTCTGAATTGTTGATAAGTTTTAGTAAAGCGGATTGGACACTTTAAGTCAACAAGCCAGATTCTCTTGCGGCAGCCGAAAGCTCTGATTGGTTGGAACAATGTGTCATGCGTTTCTATGGAGATGATGGTCAGTCTGTCTGTGCAGTAGTCCTGTTTTCATTAAACACATAAATCATGACATCTTTATTCCACAGATCATTCACTTGATTATTATTGATCAACATCTGTTTCGACTAGCTTTAATCACAAATTAAGTACTTTGATTATTGAAAAGCGTTCTTCTTCTCCTTCTGGCTCTTCTCCTGGAATGTAAACAGTCTGAGGAACACCCGACCTTGGCGTTTTCTACACGGGTGTTACTGTGTACAGGGGCAGCTGTGTGGAGCCGAAAATTATGAAGTTCATAACGTTACATATGTTCACACACAGGTGAAAACAAGCGGGGCAATAATATATTACCGTGACTCACTCTGATTGGTTAAGGGTCAAACAAAGGCGTGTCATTCGCCTGAGGTAAGTTCCCTTTTCATTCAGAGGCAGAAATTCAACTGCAGAGCTGTGAATCGTGATAAAAAGGTCTCTCAAAAATGACAGACCGTCAGATGTGTAGATCGTAAAACGGTCTAAAATCGTCATATCGCCCAGGCCTACCGGCCAATCATATTTTTTACCGGCCAAAATTCTAAATGATTTAGATCTAGCTAAAGCATGTTATTCTATATTATGTTGATTCCAGAGTGACAACATAATTAAAACATCAATTAATAAGAAAAACAACTCTTTTGTCATTTTTACTATTTATTTATTTATTTTTAGAGATGTTTTTATGAACTCTTTCATTGAAATCTAGTCAGACTCCTTGTTTTCTCTGTCCATGAAGTCTGGCCTCCTGCTTCTGACACCGTCTTTGTGCCAAAGCATTACAGCCGCATTTGGGTCATAGTCCTTGATCTCTGGAGAACACAGCTGCACCATGAGAATATCTGAAAGTGTGTCAGGGCTAGGGTTGTCACGGTAACCGGTGTAGCGGTAACCCCCGGTAAAAAAAGTTGACAATAATAATAACCGTCTTGTGTAAAAAAAAATTATCTCGGCGGATTACCGTGGCTGCGGTGTAGACGCGGTGACCCTTACCAGCCACTGTATCATCTGCTGAAGTTGCCAGCGGCACATGCGCACTTTGTTGTTTACGACCAAAACTTTCTTTAAGTTAAAGCTGAAATAATGGCAGGAGGAGACGGCAGCACTTGGGACATTTATTATCCCTCAAAGAAGACAAAGTCGGAAGTACGGGCATTTTTGGATATTTGAAGAATGCCGAGGGCCAGTTGTCTGTGAAAGGCAGCAACGCTACGTGGCCATCATAATGTAGCCTTGTCTCACGACTCCGCCATCTCCGGTTCGCCACTTTTCACAAAATCTTCTGGTTGCCACTGGTCCTGGTGGTTTTTCTTCCAGTTCGACGAGTTTTCCTTTGGAAGGCTGGCTGACTCCAGTTAAAAACCGCCACATTTCACCGCTAGTTTTAACACGAAGCTAACTGCTAACTTGATAAACTGATAGAATGGGATAGGTGGAAATGACGTTGGATGCGGCGTTCACGTTTCGCGTACGTTTGTGTACGTTGCGTTCAGGCGGGAGGAGCATCAGAAATCCGTGGAAGATGACTGATAAACATAACTAATTTGGTGCAAACATTTACTCGCCATGTGGCAGATAGAGCTCAAAAATTTACTCGCCAAATGGAGCAATTTGCTCGCATTTGGCGAGTGGCGAGTGTTAATTTCGGACCCTGGTTACAGTGATTACATCTATCATTCTACGCAGCTGATAGTTTCATGTCACTTGCTTATTGTATCAGAAATCTTCATTCTAGTTGGATTTGACCCCTGGCTTTGTTGCCGATGATACATTTAGCTGCTGCTGGTAATTCTGTAAATAACTATGTAATAAAAAACTGATGACAGTGTAAAGATTTACAAACAAACTGTTTTCAATAAATAAAAGTTGTAGATACTTAAAGATACAGTCACCACAACAATATAGGCACATAACTGTATTATAAATGTTGTTATTACCGCAGTGCAAACTACTGCACAGTCCCTATGAGGGCCATTGGGTGCCTGTTCATAAAAACTGCTGGACAACTTTGAAATTGGCGTTACTGCATCTATTACAACTCATGTCTTTTATAATCATTAACTGCATTAACTGAATATTGACCAATAATGATGAGATTATAAATAATGAAAAAAATTCTGGTAATATTTTTATTTTTCATTTATTTCATGTTATTCAGCTTTAAACATTTTCTGTTGACCATATAAATACACTCCGATTTTCAAAGATTTCCCTTACATGTAATCTTTGTTTCTTTCCCTGTGTCTTACTTTTTCTCTCTCCCTACCCTCTCTGTTCTCCTTTTCTCATTTTGTCGACTGTACTCTCCTCCCTTCCTCAGTCATGACTCATGAGCGTGGTAATTATACCTTCTGCCATTTTTCTTGGTGTTGGTTTCTCTCTCTCTCTCTCTCTCTCTCTCTCTCTCTCTCTCTCTCTCTCTCATCCCTCATCCTTCTCTCTCTTGCTCATCCCTTCTCTCTCTCTCTCTCTCTCTCTCTCTCTCTCATCCCTTCTCTCTCTCTCATCCCTTCTCTCTCTCCCCCCTCTTCCATCCCTTCTCTCGCTCTCTCTCATCCCTTCTCTCTCTCTCTCTCATCCCTTCTCTCTCTCCCCCTCTCTCGTCCCTTCTCTCTCTCTCTTTCATCCCTTCTCTCTCTCTCTCTCTCTCTCTCTCTCTCTCTCTCTCTCTCTCTCATCCCTTCTCTCTCTCCCCCCCTCTCTCATCCCTTCTCTCTCTCTCATCCCTTCTCTCTCTCCCCCTCTCTCATCCCTTTTCTCTCTCCCCCCTCTCTCATCCCTTCTCTCTCTCTCATCCCTCTTCATCCCTCTTCGTCCCCCCCTCTCTCTCACCCCTTCTCTCTCGCCCCCTCTCTCATCCCTTATCTCTCATCCCCTCTCTCTTTCATCCCTTCTCTCTCTCATCCCCTCTCTCTCTCATCCCCTCTCTCTCTCATCCCTCTTCATCCCTCTTCGTCCCTCTCTCTCTCATCCCTTCTCTCTGTCTCATCCCCTCTCTCTCTCATCCCTTCTCTCTCTCTCATCCCCTCTCTCTCTCATCCCTTCTCTCTCTCTCATCCCCTCTCTCTCTCATCCCTTCTCTGTCTCCCCCTCTCTCATCCCTTCTCTCGCTCTCCCCCTCTCTCATCCCCTCTCTCTCTCATCCCTTCTCTCTCTCCCCCTCTCTCATCACTTCTCTCGCTCTCCCCCTCTCTCATCCCTTCTCTCTCTCATCCCTCTTTGCCCCCCCTCTCTCATCCCTTATCTCTCATCCCTTCTCTCTCTCTCCCCCTCGCTCATCCCTTTTCTCCCTCTCTCATCCCTCTTCATCTCCCATCCCCCTCTCTCTCTCTCTCTCTCTCTCTCTCTCTCTCTCTCTCTCTCTCTCTCTCTCTCTCTCTCTCTCTCTCACCTTGGTGGTTGTTGAGTGAGTTCTGTCCAGGTCCTGAGTGTAGACGTCTGAACTGTGTTCCTTACCTGTTCTGTGCTTGCAGTAACAATTCTGCTTGGCTATCCTGTAAAGTTTTATTTAGGGATGCACCGATGGATCTGCATTTGATCCCAATCGGTGGATAGCCCCCCTATTGGTTTTGATCAGAGTTTTCAAAATAGATCAAAGCAGACCAATCAGGTAGGGTTGTCACGGTAACCGGTGTAGCGGTAAACCCCGGTTAAAAAGTTGAAAATAATAACCGTCTTGTTTTTAAAAAAACTATATTATCTTGGTGGGTTACCGTGGCTGCGGTGTAGGCGCGGTGACCCTTACCAGCCACCGTATCATCTGCTGAAGTTGCCGGCGGCACATGTGCACTTTGTTGTTTACAACCAAAACTTTCTTGAAGCTAAAGCTGAAATAATGGCCAAAGGAGGAGACGGCAGCGCTCAGGACATTTATTATCCCTCAAAGAAGACAAAGTGGGAAGTACAGGCGTCTTTAGGATATCTGAAGAATGCAGAGGGACAGCTGATAGAAGACGGCTATCCTGTTTGCAGCAGGTGCAGAAAAAGTGTCTGTGAAAGGCAGCAACGCTTCAAATCTCATGACACATCTGCGTGACCATCACCCCCAACTCTACAGTCAACGCAAGGCAAGCTAACGTTAGCATTTTAGCTAAAATGCGTGATCCGAGGATTTGGGTTGAGGGAGAATGCAACGAGTCGCTATATAAAGCAGCCGCAGCGCCGCTACCTGCATATAAACCGTGTCGCGGACACCGCCATGTTGAAATGACGCTATGCATTATGGGGCTCCCAGGGGCAGGTAAGAGTTGGTCTCTCTCCGAGAATAATTATGAATTTAACAACGATTACTGCCTGATGACATTTTCCCACATCTGTAAAGCTCACTGGAAGGACACAAACCGAGGACGATATTTTCCTGATATAGGGTTTATTACTCAAGTAAGGGTAAACAAGTATCTGATTAGAAGGCTACTTGAGTACTGAGTATCATCTGGTCTAATATTTTAAAATGATGACATCAAACAGACATAAAATAAGAAGTTATGGGCAAATATTGGTATTTTAAAGACTAAAGGGGAAAAATGTAAACAAATAAACAACATAATTACAAAATAACACATTTTAGGCAAAATTTAGACACAAACTGAGGACAATATTTTCCTGATATACAGGGTTTATGTAGTTGTGTGAAAATGTAGCACATTTAAAAAAAATACCGCGATAATACCGAAAACTGTGGTAATTTTGGTCACAATAAACGTGAGGTTAAATTTTCACACCGTGACAACCCTAATACAGACCATTTTAGAGTAGGCTACATTTCCTTTATTCCCAGATTATGTAGTTTGTACCACTCATTATAATGTTGTAGAAAATGTCTGGCCAATCCACCTGATCGGTATCGGTGATCGGCAGCAAAAAACCTGATCGGTGCATCCCTAGTTTTATTGACATTCTTTTGTCCCCAGTCATCATTTTTTGTAATATGTGCACTTCTTATGAAAATAGAGTGACATATTGTACGACTGAGTGATGGAAGGATCGATGTCTTTCCTCAGTCTGTTTCCTTTCTCAGGGTCTGTACAGCTTCTGGCATATTCTGAACCTAACTAGTATAACTATTTAACCTGCCCCATCTCATCTACCACACGTTTCCCCCAGT